TCCTCCTCCTCCTCCTGCTCCTCCTCTCCTCCTCCTCCTCCTCCTCCTCCTCCTCCTCCTCCTCCTCCTCCTCCTCCTCCTCCTCCTCCTCCTCTCTCTCCTGCTCCTGCTCATGCTCCTGCTCCTGCTCCTCTGCTCCTGCTCCTGCTCCTGCTCCTGGCTCCTCCTGCATCCTGCTCCGGCTCCGACTCCTGCTCCCTCCTCTCCTCCTCTCCTCCTCGTCCTCCTCCTCCTCCTCCTCCTCCGCCTCCTCCTCCCCCTCCTCCTCCTCCTCTTCCTCCTGCTCCTGCTCCTAATCCAGCTCCTGCTCCTGCTCCTGCTCCTGCTCCTGCTCCTCTCCCTCCGGCCGCTCCGGCTCCGCTCCTGCTCCTGCTCCTGCTCTGCTTCCTGCTCCTGCTCCTGCTCCTCCTCCTCCTCCTCTCCTCCTCCTCCTCCTCCTCCTCCTCCTCCCTCATCATCATCATCATCATCCTCCTCATTCTCTTCCTCCTCCTGCTCCTCTCCTCCTCCTTCTCCTCCTCCTCCTCCTCTCATCCTCCTCCCTCCTCCTCCTCCTCTCTCCTCCTCCTCTTCCTCCTCCTCCTCCTCCTCCTCCTCCTCCTCCTCCTCCTCCTCCTCCTCCTCCTCCTCCTCCTCCTCCTCCTCCTCCCCTCTTTCTGTGGGAGTCGCAGGTCGGCTGTGACACGCGTCCGCTGATATGTAGAATGATACCGGAGAAAAAACCCAACCAGATGTTTGTTGGGGCAATGGGGCTGTATGGGCTATATGGCTATAGGGGTATAGTGATATAGGGCTATAGGGCTATTGGGCTATAGGGGCTATAGAACCTTAGGACTATAAGGCTATAGGGCTATGGAGCTATAGGGCTATAGGGCTATAGGGTTCTAGAGTTATAGGGCTCTAGGGCTCTAGGTCTATAGGGCCATAGTGCTATACGGCTGTAGGGCTATTGGGCTATAGGGCTATAGGGCTACTGGGCTATTGGGCTATTGGGCACACCCGGGCACCCGAGCACCCCCGGGCACCCGGGCACCCAGGCCCAGCCACCGAAATCGGCCACGCACCTCACCGGCCACCCGGGCCCCTGGGCACCGCCGGGCACCCGGGCACCCGGGCCGCCGGGCACCCTGGCACCCGGGTACCCGGGCCCGGCCACCGAAATCGGCGACAAACCTCACCTAACCCTTTAATCCGCTAGGCCCCCTACAGAGGCAAGCTCTGATTGGGGAAAAATCAGCGCCATGGGAAGGTATAGGAGGGACGGGTCGGATGGCAGATGAGACGCTAGCGCACCCAGTTTGTCCTCCTCCTCATCTCCCTCTCCCTTCTCCTCCTCCTCCTCCTCCTTCTCCTCCTCCTCCTCCTCCTCCTCCTCCTCCTAATCCTCCTCCTCCTCCTCCTCCTCCTCCTCCTCCTCCTCCTCCTCCTCCTCCTCCGCCTTCTCCTCCTCCTCCTCCTCCTCCTCTTTCTCCCTCCCTCTCTCTCTCCCTCCCTCCCTCCCTCCTCCTCCTCCTCGTCCTCCTCCTCCTCCCTGATCTACTCCTCCTCCCCAATCCTCCTCCTCTTCATCATCATCATCATCATCATCATCATCATCAACAGCATCATCATCAGCATCATCATAATCATCATCAGCAGCATCATCAGCATCACCATCATCATAATCAGCAGCATTATGATCATCATCATCACCACCACTATCATCATCAGCAGCAGCATCATCATCTTTATCAACCGCGTCATCATCAACAACAACATCAACAACAAACACAACAGCAACATCATCCTCATGATTATATTCATCCTCCTTATCCGTATCATCATCCACATCCTCCTTTATTGTTCCTCTTCCTCCACCTCATCCTCATCCTTATCGGCATGAGCATCATCAGCAGCAGCATGATCATCGCCACCACCACCAACAACAACACCATACCAATACAACATCCACCACCACCACCAACAACAACAACGACAGCAGCAACAACGACGACAAGAACAACAACAAACACAACAACATTAACAACAACCACAACAGCAGCAACGACGACGTTGACATCCCTTATCATCATCATCATCATCATCATCATCATCATCATCATCATCATCATCATCATAATCATCATCATCGTCATCATCGTCGTCGTCGTCGGTCGTCGTCGCCATCATCATCATCAGCAGCAACATCAGCAGCAGCAGCATCATCATCAGCCATCCTCATCATCGCCAGCATCTGCATCATCAGTACCACTATTATCATCATCAATATCATCAGCCCCATCGTCATCGACATCGTCAGCCTCAACAACATCAACATCAACATCATCATCAGAGCAACATCAGCATCATCATCAGCAGCATCATCTTCATCGTCAGCATCGTCAGCATCATCGTCATCATCATCGTCATCACTATCCCCATCATCATCAGCAGCAGCGTCATTGTCGTCATCCACGTCATCAGCAGCAGCAGCATCATCATACAGTAATCAGCAGCATCATCATCATCACCATCGTAATCAGCAGCAGCATCATCATCAGCAGCAGCCGCATGAGCATTATCACTATCATCGTCGTCGTCATGATCATCACTATCGTCATCATCGTCACCGCCTCCACGATCACCAGCAACATCACCATCATCAGCAATAGCACCATCATCGCCCTTCTCAGATCATCAGCATCAGCACCATCATCAGCAACATAACCATCATCGCTATCGTCATCATCATCATCATCATCATCATCAGCATCATCATCATCATCATCATCATCATCATCACCATTATAAGCGTCATCATCAGCATCATTGTCATCATCTTCATCATCGTCAAAACCAACCTCGCCATCGTCATCAGCATTATCATCAGCACCAGCATGAGCACCACCACCACCACCACTACAATCACCATCACCATCACGATCACCACCACCATCACAATCATGATCCTCATCCTCATCCTCATAATCATATTCATCCTCATCCTCTCGCCCTCCGCATCTCTTCCTCCTCCTCCTCATCCTCCATCTCCTCCTCATCATCATCCTCTTCCGTGCTCATCTTCATCCACTTTTCCGTCCTGCTCCTCCTCCTCCTGCTGCTTCTCCTCCTCCGCCCCCTCGTCCTCCTCATCCAACTCCCCCATCTCCTCCTCCATTCCTTTTCCTTATAAATAACTTCCCCCTGTCGCACCCCGAGGTCAGTTTTTCGGGCGGGCCGGGCGTTTCGCCTGGGACTTCATTTACGGCCCAACGGGCCAGGGCGTGCTAAGATCTCCGGTAACTGGTTAACAGTATTAACAGTATTTCTAGTTCGCGCGCGCGGGGCGGCCCCTGGGGGTCCCCCGGCGAAAAGTACCCCGACCAACGCCCGCCCGCCCGACCGCCGCCCGACCAAGTCTACTCAGAGATGGTTTTCCTTCTGGGTGCGGCCTCTCAGGCTCCCCAGAGCGCGCTCAGAGTGCCCCAAGAGGCCCCCAAGACTGCCCAAGAGGCCCCCGAGACGCCCAAAGAGCGCTCGAAGACGCCGAAGATGACCCCAAGACGGCCCAAAAGGCCCCCAAGACAGCCCAAGAGGCCTCCAAGACGCCCCAAGAGCCTTCCAAGAGGCCTCCGAAGAGAGCCCCAAGAGGCCAAAATCGTTGATTTTCATTGGTTTTTTCGATGTTTTTTGTGTTCTGGCTTTTTCGGCTTCCGGACGCTCCAAGACGGCCCAAGAGGCCCCCAAGACCGCTCCAAGACGGCCCACGAAGCTCCCAAGACGGCGCCGAAACGACCCAAGAGAGCCCTCAAGACGGCCCAAGTGCCGCCCAAGACGGACCAAGAGGCCCCAAGACGGGCCCAAGAGGGACTCAGGAGGGATACCGAGAACTCAAAAATGGAGCCCTCCGTCCCAGAAGGCGCCCAGGAGGTCCCAAAGAGGCCCCAAGAGGCCTCCAAGAGGCCCCAAGATGTCGCCAAGAGGCCCCAGGAGACTCCCAGGAGGCCCAAAAGAAGCCCCAGAAGGCTTCAAACATGTCTCCCAGGCGCCCCCGAACGGCCTCTCAACAGACCCCAAGAGGCCCCCCAAAGAAGCATCTTGACGACGACTCTATTTCGCCCCATCGAGAGACGACCCCCAGGGAACTGCTTCACCATCAAAACTCCCCACGCAACGCGTCCGAACGACACCCGCCCCCAAGAGCGCAACATGGGCAACGAACACACAGACAAAAACCAGCGATGCCATATCACGGGCCGGCGGAATGAGCGAAGCGATTCAATAACTTCCCCCTGTCGCACCCCGAGGTCAGTTTTTCGGGCGGGCCGGGCGTTTCGCCTGGGACTTCATTTATGATCCTGAAGCTTCAAAGTCGGCAACAGCTTGACAAATGGAGGGCGGGTCGTTTTCAACATGCGGTTCTCGCCTTAGCGCTGCGCACATTCGTTCTAGAAATTTGCAGGAATTCACGGATTGAGGGCGGGTCGTTTTCAAAATGTGGTTCTCGCCATAGCGCCGCGCACATTCTTTTGTTAAATTTGCAAGAATTTCACGAATTGAGGGCGGGTCGTTTTCAAAATGTGGCTCTCGCCATAGCGCCGCGCACATTCGTGTTAAAAACTGTAATAGTTTCACTGATTGAGGGCGGCTCCTTTTCGAAATGTGACTCCCGCCTTAGCGCCGCGAACATTCGTTTTTTAATTCACCAGATTTTCACTGGTTGAGGGCGGCTCCTTTTCAAAATGTGGCTCCTGCCTTCGCGCCGCGCACATTCGCTCATAAAATGTGCAAGAGATTCACGGGCTCTCATGATCCAAATACACGGAATGGTGTTTTGGAAGGACTCAGGCTTGTGAGGGTGCCACAGTTACATTCATTCGCACTGTTGAAGTCCCCAGAACGGCGTTCTTGAGCGGTTCCGGATCGTCAAAACGCAGCAGTCAGGTTGATCCGTGGCGTTGAAATCCCGAGAACAATTGTTTGGTATGCTTCAGGGTCTTCGAACGGTTGCCTTCCAAAGAGGCAGGTCCCTCACTGGAAATAAGCCGTTGCAGGGGCCTATGAAGAGCGAGCTTGGGGCGAGGCTATATTCCAACATCGTTGATGACTCGTGGGCTTACAGTTGTCCTCCTCCTTCTGCTCCTCATCATCATCCTCCTAATCCTCCTGATCCTCCTCCTCCTCATCGTCGTCCTCCTGATCCTCCTCCTCATCATCATCATCATCATCAGCATCAGCATCAGCATCAGCATCAGCATCAGCCTCAGCATCAGCATCAGCATCATCATCATCATCATCATCATCATCATAATCATCATAATCATCATAATCATCATCATTACCATCCTCTTCCTCCTCCTCCTCTTCCTCACCCTCCTCCTCCTCCTCCTCCTCTTCCTCCACCTCCTTTACTCCTCATCCCCCTCCTGCTCCTCCTCCTCCTCCTCCTCCTCCTCCTCCACGTCCTCCTCTCCTCCTCCTCCTCCTCATCATCCTCCCCCTCCTCCTCCTCCTCTTCCTCCTCCTCTTCCTCCTCCTCCTCCTCCCTCCTCCTCTTCCTTCTCCTCATCATCATCATCCTCCTCCTCTTCCTCCGCCTCCTCCTCCTCTTCCTCCTCCTCCTCTGCCTCATCTTCCTCCTCCTCCTCCTCCTCGGCCCCCTCCTCGTCCTCCTCCTCTTCTTCTCAGTAGTATTATTATTCGCAACATTCCTATTATTATTATTGATATGTGTCTTCTTTTTATTCTTCTGTTTATTAATAATGCGATTATTCTTAGTATCATTCTCATGCGTCTTGTCATTTTTGTTTTTCTTATGCAGAGTATGCTTCTTCGTGGGCGTCTGACTATTATTCTTAGTATTGTTACTATTATTGGCTTATCATTGTTCTTATTCATAATATCATTGCTTATTAATAATATCAGTATTATTCCTCTGAGTATTAGTATTATGCTTTTGCTTAATTGTATTATTCTTCGCATTTGTATGATTATAAGTATTATTATTATTATTATTCCTCCTCCTCCTCCTCTTATCATTGTTCCATCATTGCTCCCTCCTTTTGCTTAATTGTATTATTCTTCGCATTTGTATGATTATAAGTATTATTATTATTATTATTCCTCCTCCTCCTCCTCCTCCTCCTCCTCCTCCTCCTCCTCCTCCTCCTCCTCCTCCTCCGCCTCCGCCTCCGCCTCCTCCTCCTCCGCCTCCTCCTCCTCCTCCTCCTCCTCCTCCTCCTCATCCCCCCCCCCCAGCCTTCCATTCCTCCACCGATTCCCCCTGGCCCTGAGACGGCCAGCGAACGCCGCAATCCCCCCTCCCTGGGCACGGGGGCCGCACCGCTCTTAGGTGCTTCACCAGCGAGCGCTTGAGGCGCATCTCCAGCACCTCCGCGTGGGCAATGTCGAACTGCATCTCGAGCACGCCCCTGGCAGGAGGAGAGAGGAGGGGGAGGTGGAAGGAAACAGGAGGAAGGAGGAGAGGGAGAAGGAGGAGCAGAAGGAGGAGGAGGAGGAGGACGAGTGCAAACCCGAGGCGCATCAATGACGTTGCCACCCAAAGTTCCTTCCCTCCACAGATGAATTGTCGGAGAAGCTCCAATCGCACCAAACCGCCATTCCTGAGACTTCAGCGTCGCGAATCAACGCAACTGTTGCGTCCCGACAACCGCGAAACAACATCGCTATTGCGCCATGACAACCGCGCATACTGCCGGAACACCATTCCAGGGACTTCGACTATGCGAACCCTTCTCAACAGTTGCAAAGGTCTAGCAGCCTGAACGCGGAGTTAAAGCGAAAACCACAATTTCAAAAAGAACTGCCCTTCATCCTCGAAGCTGCTGCCAAGTTCGACGACGAATGTGCTGGGCGCGCAGGCGATATCAACATGTTGAAAACCGCCCGCCCTCCGCGACGCAACAAACTTTCAATACGAACGCACGCGGCGCTCAAGCGAGAGCCACTTTTTGAAAACGACCCGCCCTCCTTTCCTTGAGACTGCGGCAAAGGTGCAAGAAGAATGTGCGCGGCGCCTAAGCGAGAACAACACCTTGAAAACCACCCGCACTCCATCCGTGAAACTGGTGCAAATTTCAAGCCTCGGGATCACAATTGGTCAAGAAGTCTCAGGCGAAACGCCCGGCCCGCCCTTCCGACGCGCGCGTGGGGGGGACGGCGACGACACAAGGAAGAGCTGTTCACAAGGCGAAAGGATGGCGGGGTAAAGAGAGAAAGATGAGGACTCTTTGGGCCCTCTGGTAGCGCACTCTGTGCGGCCGAAAACTCTGGGCGGCGATCCGACAGGCCTCCCGCTCGCCGCCCCGGCGCCCGCGCGGCGCCACGCGCGCCTTGCCGAAGAGGAAACCAGCGGCCCTGAACCGCCGGGCGGCGCAACCCGCCACCCGCGGGGCCTCAGTTCCTGCCCACCGCGGACTGCGCGGCAACCGAAAGCCAAGCGGGGGGGAAAAGCTGGGGGCGGCAGCGCGCAGGCCAGCCTCACTCGGATGGCGAGGCGCCGAGACCCGACCCAGGGCCTCCGCCCGTCTCTGCAGGTCGGGGCCCTGGAGCAGCCTCGGCCGCACCGGCGTGCCCCCGGGCGCGAGACCTGGCGGTGCCCAGAACCACCCCCACGGGCCCCCGTTGGGGCCAGGTGGCGCGCACCCACGAGCCTCCCCCGGCCACGACGTGGCGCGAGGGGGCCCGAGTGCTGAGACTGACCCTGGGGCGGACAGGACCCCGGGCGTTGAGCGAACAGCACCCACCACCACCCGTGAAGGATGGATTTCTGCGGCCTCAAGTTCCCCCAGGACGCTGCGCGGGTGCTGCACCAGCAGGAGAGAGAGGAGGAGGAGGAGCAGGAGGAGGAGGGAAGGAGGGAGGGAGGGGAGCGCTGCGGAAATTCGCCAACAGTTTCGAAGAATGAGGGCGGGTAGCAAAACCAGGCACACCCGTTTACAGATTTGACACAGCTTCAAGACTGGAGGCCGCCTCGTGTTCAAAACGAGGCTCTCGCCTAAGCGCCGCGCATACTCGTCAACAAAGCTTGCAACAGCCACAAAGATGAAGCCCGCTCCTTTCAAGGACGGGGCTCTCGGTTCAGCGAGGCGCTTCGAAAGTAGGTGGCAACTGCGAGGACGGAGCGCGGTCTCCCATATGAGGCTCTCGCTCGAGACCTCCTCAGAATTCGAGCAGACAAGGCAAACACATTGGCTTGAACACGGGGCCTGCTCAACGCGGGTGACAAGACGCGTAAGATTGCGCTGCAGCTGCACGGGTGGGGAGGCCGCTCGTCCTCAGAACGCGGCTCTCTCGCCGCGGCGAGAAGCGAACGCCAGAGTCGTGCGGTGCTGCTCCGGGGAGCCCGCCCGTGCTCACGAAGGGCATGCCGTGGAGGCCGTCGTGGCCACGGCTCTCGCTGCACGCCCCGTCAAAGCTCCCATCCGGCGGAAGGAAGCCATCGGGCTCCGTGTCAAAACGGGGCTCTCGCCTGAGCGGCAGGCGACCAGGGTGCGAGTCTCTCGAGGGGGCGCCTCCTGCAGTGAAGAGGGAGGCTTGCAGGGAACTCTGACGGGGGGGCTCGGGACGGAAGGGAGACTTGCACCATGGTTGATGAATCCTGGGTTTACTCTGGTCCTCCTCCCTCTGCCTCCCTCCTGCTCGATCTCCTCCCTCCTCCCTGTGCCCTCCCTCCCTCCCTCCCTGCTCCACCTCCCTCCTCCTACCTTCTCCCTGGCCTCCCTCCCCCCTCCCCACGAGCACGACCACGACCACGACGACGGAGCCGACCACGACGACGACGACGACGACGACGACGACGACGACGACGACCCCGACGACGCCGCCGACCGGAGAACCTCTGCGGCGGCGGCGAGGCGGGCAACGGCGCCTCCTCGGCACGTGCGACAACCGCAGGCTGCCACTCACGGGGGATACCTCGCGGGATCCGGTTCGGTCAGTATCGCCCGCGGCGATCGGGCGCCTAAAGAGGAGAAGGAGGAGGAAGAGGATGAGGAGGAGGAGGAGGAGGAGGAGCAGGAGGAGGAGGAAAAAGAGGAGGAGGAGAAGGAGGACCTCCTCTCTCCTGTCCTCCAGGGGTACCAGGGGGAGGAGTGCGCAGCGGCCCCTCGCAGAGGATGGAGGCCCACGACGGCCGCGCGTGGCGCGTGCGGCAGCCTGACCAGACAGCATGGGCGTCCGCCTCCAGGCTGTGCCCGACCGGCATCCGCCCCGAGCCATGGCCACAGCCGTGCTGCCCCCTTCAGCACACGCTTCGTTCCGGCCCTTGGCCCCTGCGTGCCGCTGCAGCGAACTCGGCGGCAGTCCGCTGCAGCAACCGCGGCATACCAGCAGTGCGGCCCACCCCGCCGCCGCCGCCGCCGCCGCCGCCGCCACCTGCGCTCCCCGCGGAGGGGCGCGGCGCGCCTCCCCCGAGGACAGCTGCGACCCAACACAGGAAGCACCTGGGAGGCTCGAAGACAGCGAAGCTGGGCCTCTACGGTCTGTTGGGCGGTGCACTCCCAGGGCGCTCCTCCAGGGCGCTCCGAAGGCGCTCCCAAGCGTACCCACAAGCAAAATGACGTTGAACAAGATCATCATCCGAATCCTCTGCTACCTCCTCTGGTTTTCAACTTACACCGATACGCCTGCTCTTGCATGCCGTGAGAAATGGTTGAATCTCACATGGAGAACTGATTGGACAAGGCACGAATAAGAATCGGGATAATGATAAAACTAATAGTTGTGAAGGTAAAAACCATATCAGCCAGCGTTGACTCCAAATAGATAGGAGGACAGGAAGAGGACGAGATGAGGATGGGACGAGGACGAAACGGGGAGGGGAGCAGGACGGGAGGAGGACGGGAGGAGCAAAATCAAGCAAGCGCAAGCAAGCAAGCGGAAGCAAGCAAGCGCAAGCGAGCAATAACAAGCAAGCAAGAGCCAGCGGTCAAGTGCAAGCAAGTAAGGGCAAGCAAGAGCAAGCAAAAGCAAGCAAGGGAAGCAAGGGCAAGCGAGGGGTGCCATTGGAAACGAGGGTGCCATTGGAAAAAGGGGGGGAAGGGGGGGGGCATTGGAAATAAGCCAGGGTGCCATTGGGAAAAGGGGGGGGCTAAAGACGAATCACTCATGATGAGCGAGGACTTCTTAGGGCAAGCCTATGTGGAGAACAATCGTAGTAAGCACCATGCTAGCCATCAAAATAGTAAGAACGATATGATGATACAAGTAATGGAAAAAGTGATAGTTCTACTCATAGTGATACTAAGAAGATAATACTGGTGGTGATGATAACGATGGTAGTAGTAGCGGTATCAATACAATTAGCAATAGTAGTACTAGTAATAAAAATGAGACTAGTAGCAGTGAAAGAAAAATAGCGATCGCAGTAATAGTCGCAGTGGTAAGAATAGTACTGGTGGCAATAAAAGTAAGAGCAACCGAAACAATGCGAGTACAAATTACCGTGATGGTAATACGACTGAGGATTTCGACCGTAATAATGGTAATATTGAAAATAAACCGTCGACGTGATAATAATAGTTGTTCTTATATACATATATATTTATAATCGCACGACAATGTGAATTGTAAAAATAAAAATGGAAATGGTGATTGTAATAGTCATCGCGCTCACAACAATCATAGCAGTGGTGATAGCGGCGGCAAAAATAGAAATAGCGAAACGAATATCAGTAAGATGAGCAATACTTGCGATGGTAATGGTAAACAGAAATGTAAAAGTCAAAGATGATAGCACTAGTAGTCGTGATACTACTATTTCTACTAATATTAATGATGATCGCAAGGTACTAGTAGTGGTGATACGAATCCACATATGACTAGTAACTATAACCACAGACGATTGGCATTAGGGATCATGATAGTAATATACAAATAATGAAGATCATCGTAATACCCGTAAGAATAATGGCAATCACGCTAGGATAAAAATACGCCGACCCCTTGGGGTTCATCGGCGTGTGAGATGCTTCCCCCTCCCCAAACCCCCCCTTGGGACCCTGGTCCGGTCAATTTGGATAGGTGTCCCCCCGGGGACCGCCCGAACGCGCCATGGATACAGGGGGCCCCAAAAGGGGCCAAGAGGGCCCGAGGAGGGCCCCCGGAAGGTCCAAGAGGAGCACGAGTCGCCGAAAAATCGCGCCAAGACGCCCAAGATTGGCCCCAGATGACCCCAAAGGCCCCCAAGACGTTCCAAGAAGTCGCCCCGGGGCGTTCCAAGAGGCCTTCAAGGAGCAAAAATTCAAAATCGCCCCACTTCCTTAGGAAAACTTTCATGTTTGGCACGTTCGCCTCTTGTGCTTTCACGAGGCCCACCCAGGTCGAAGCGGCCTTCAAGATCGACCCAAGAAGGGCGAAGAGGCCCCCAAGAGGGCCCCCAGACGGCACACGAGGGCCCCAAACCGGCCCCAGAAGCCTGCAAGACGGGCGGGGAGGCCCCGAAGACGGCCCCACGGGGAGGCCTAGAGGGAGAATCCGAACGGAAATTCCGAGCTCCCGTCCCCAAGATGCCCCCAAAAGTCCCCAAAAAGCTTCCAACAGGCCCCCAGAGGGCGCCAAAAGGGCCCCAACAAAGACCCCAGACGCCGCCAGGAGGCCCCCAACAGGTTCAAAAACTGCCTCCGTGACGCTCCGACGCGCATCCCACGCGACCCCATCAGTCATCCGAACGGCGTCAAACCCGCAACCCAGACCCAGGAGACCCACCAGAAAGGCCCACACGAGGCTCCCACTGGCAGGCATCTGCTACACCCCCAAAGGGTCGGCGGTGCGGCGTACGCCCGAGAATAATAGCAATAGTTACACTAACATGTATGATACGAATACTACGAATAATAACAATAACAATAATAACAATAATACGAATAGTAGCAGCAAGGATAAGAATCGAAAACAATCGTAACAGTACTCGCAGTATGGTAAAAGTATGGATGATACAAAAACAAGAATGAAGATAGTGACAGCGATGACAATATCAATGACAATACTCGAAGCAATAGCGATACTAGTCGGAATGCTCCTGAGAATCCCAATAATAATAGTAATAATATAAATACTCTGGGGAATAAAAAATAGAATAGACGGAGGGATAGAAATAGTACGAGTAATAATGATAAGACTAGCAATAGTAATATGATGGTAATGGTGATAGCAATAGCAGTAATGATAGGGAAAACATAGTGACTTACGAGTACAAGTAACAGTAACAGTAAGAGTATTAGCGGTAGCGATAGCAACAACAATGGAAATAGGAAGTCTACGAGTAAGAACCTAACAAGAATAGTGATAGTAATCGTGACCCTGGTAGTGAAAACGATACGAATACAAAAAAAATAGCAATCGTCATAGTGATAGTAACTATAATCGTACGAACACCAAAAACAGCAATAGAAATACTTATGGTAATAGTACTACTAGATGTGATGGACATGATAATGTTGATAACGACAAAAGTAATACTACGAACAATAGAAACAGCACTAGTCATAAAAATAATAGTGAAAACCAACAAAGCTAGTAATAATAATACTCGTGGGAATAAGGGTGATGAGGATAGCGCTCGCAATAAGGATAACAACTATAGCAATCGTAAGAGCAACACTAATATCAACATCGACAATAATAACTGCCATGGTAATAACGCTAATCGTCGCCATAGCAACAGTAGCAGTAATGGTCGTGACGGTGATAATATGAATGGTAATGATACTAACCGTGAAACTCAGAAAAAAAAAGTAAGAGTGGTAACAACAAGCATGGTAATGATGATAGTAATAATAATCACAACGATATAGTCATAGGCAATATCGTGAACCGTGAATGCGAGTGATAGCCACAATAACAGTAACAGGTACATCAATAGTTAAACTACAAAGAACTGCAATAAGGACCATGATAATAAGACTCACGGTGGGAGATATGGATGATGATTGTTATAATGAGACCACCAACCTCAGTAATATTACGAGTGCTGGAAATAACAAAAACAATGAGGATCGCGGTAATAATGGAAACAACCAACCTTAATCATATGAATAGACGGCAGCCGTAAAAGCAGTAGCAATTGCCATAGTGATACGAATCACGATAGCGATCTTGATAAGAACAAGGCAACAGCAACAGTATTCGGAACAGCTTGCTTTGAAAACAAAAATCTAGGACTGACAAGGGGTGAGACTGCTGGTGTCAGTCAAAGTAATAATAATAAGAACAGAAATGGTAACAGTGGAAATACCATAAGTGACCTAAGAACACGAGTAAGCACCAGTAACTGTGATGATGCTAATAGTATACATAGTGAAGGAAAATACTGTCTGTGATAGTGCTGGAAACAATGAAACGCTGGGTCGTAGGGATAAGCATGAAAATGCTGCTAGTAGTAGCCATGAGAACAAGACTTGCAATAGCTAAACTAATACGGGAATTAGCGCGAGTGGTAACAATAGCAATCGGAATTGCGATAGTAGCGAGAAAACAAAAAGTGGTATGGGTAGTCATACTAGCCAAGGCAATCACGTGAAAAGACAATGATATAGTCATAGTGATACGCACAGAAAAGTAGTACTATAAGAACCAGTAGAAGAAATAATGAACATGACCAGTAATAGCAATATTGAAAGTAATTGTAAGGGTAATAGAGCGTTATACTAATAATTCGAATGGTGTTAGTCATTCTAATCGCTATAGCAACCGTACTCGTAATCGTAATGACCGTGATGCGAATGAAAGTAGCGATAGTCACCCCAACAAAAAAACAGCTAACAATAACAGCAGTGGTACTAGTCACAGTAGTGATAGACGACTACTACTACTACTACGACTACTACTACTACTACCACCATCACCATCGCCCACACCGCGACTACTACGATTACTACGATTACTACGACTACCACGACTACTACGACTACTACTACTACTACTACTACTACTACTGCTGCTGCTGCTGCTGCTACTACTACTACTACTACTACTGCTACGGCTACTACTACTACTACTACTACTACTACTACTACTACTCCTACGACAACTACTACTACTACTACTACTACTACTACTACTACTACTACTACTACTACTACTACTACTACTACTACTACTACTACTACTACTACTACTACTACTACTACTACTACTACGACTACTACTAACTACTACTACTACTACTACTACGACTACTACTACTACTACTACTATACTACTATACTAACTACTACTACTACTACTACTACACCACACCACTACCACTACCACTACCACTACCACTACTACCACTACACTACTACCACTACCACTACCACTACCACTACCACTACCACTACTACTACTACTACTACTACTACTACTACTACTACTACTACTACTATTATGACTTATAGTACTACGTGTGCTCCTTCTCATCTCCATGCTACCCCTGCCACAATTCCTCCCCACTCCTCCTCCTCCTGCGCCACTTTCTCCTCCTCCTCCTCCACCTCCTCCTACCTCTCGAACTTCCTTTTTCTCTCTCTCTCTCTCTCTTTCTATCCCTCTCTCTCTCTCTCCCTCTCTCTCTATGTATGTATGCCCTTCTCTCTCTCTCTCTCTCTCCCTCTCTCGTCCTCTTACTATATATATATACATACATACATACATACATACAGGTCCCTCTCTCTCTCTTTCTCTCTCTCTCTCTCTCTCTCTCTCTCTCTCTCTCTCTAAAACACACAAACACACACACACACACACACACACACACACACACACACACACGCACCTCGCCTGACCAAACCCTCCTCCTCCTTCCCGCTTTCGGCGGAAGCGCACCACGTACGCGGCGCCGTCGAGGGTCCTGCAGCCAACCTCGGCCATGCGGAAGCCCAGCCTGGCGGCTGGCGACCACCCCAGCGCCGCGCGGAGCAGCGAGGGGGGATGAGGGAGGAGGGAGGAGGAGAGTAGAAGGAGAAACAAGAGAAGGAGGAGAAGGATCTGGGATGCCTCAACAGTGCTCCAATACGCCCTCCCGTGCTCAGCTCCCTCATATCAGTCCCTACAGGAAGCCCTCCTCACTGCAGGAAGCGCCCCCTGAAAAAAGACGAGCGCGCTTAAAAGACGAACGCACTGTGTCCCTTTGCCTCTGGACTCGGCCGCCAGTCTGCAGCCTACCCAATTCAAAAGCGGTTCCGGTCGGTCCAAACAATCGACGGGAAACCAGTTGGCAAGTCGGACAACTGTCGCAATGAGACGCTCCCAGAGGAGATGCTCCACCAGGCATGACGCGAAGTTCGCTCACAACGACGCGGCCAGCCTGCTCGCCACCTCGTCGTGGCCTGACAGCTGGACCTGTAACGAGCTATGCGCGGGCTCCTGCTGGGCTCTCTGGTGGTCCTTCCGTTCTGCTGGTGCGCGGCGCGCTTCGGGCAGAGCTCCTCGACCGCGGAGCCGAGGAGGCCCCCGAAGCGAGCAGACACCCCACAGCATGCCGCCCAGCGCTGCGCGGCGCGTCACCTGCGCAACGACGATCGACAGGCGCTTGTCCAGAGCTGGGGCTGGCCCGATTGCGAAAGACACTCATCAAATTAGGAGGAAGGAGTTGGGAAGATACTAGGCACGACTGGGTAATAAACGCCTTCAACATACGCGATAATATGCAGGACCTGATCGTTTCTCACACCAACCCCATCCTCTCAACCCGATAGTTACCTTCTGACCGATGGGAAACTCGAACGCCCTCCTGCTCTTCACGACGACCGCGCCCTCGAAGGCCCGGAGATGCTCGAAGGCCTCGAAGGCCTGGAAGGCTGGCCAGACCGTCGCACAGCTGGACAGCGCCGCCCTAACGCTCAGGCCGAGCTCGGCCCACGGGCTTCTGGACCCGGCGCGGCCAAGGCACCCTTCCCGATCCCGAGAGCAGGGCAAGACGGTTGAGCTTATGCAGAGGTGTGCACACGGACCTCGCCCCCACCTCTGCCGAACGGTTTTTTTTGCACATTGAGCTCAGAGCTCTGTCTGTTTGTGATCGCGGGCATGACCAATAGCTTCGCTCTGCCACCTCCAGAGACCTGAGCTCGGTCTGCTTCTCGAGCTATGATCGAAGAACCAGTATGGCTCCGCCACTGTGCTGCTTCGCGCGGCTGTTCTGCTAAATTTCGGGATGTTAGAGCAGCTACACAGCTCCCAATTGCACGAAGCGGTTCAGCAACATAAGAAGCTTTCATCAGCAGCCTCCGTTGCGCACAGGCCGCAGGGCGGTGAAAAGGTCCGGGCCGCGGCCAGGGCACCACCCGACCTCGAGAGCAGGGCCGCCAGGCTGTTGAGGCGTGCGCACGGATCTCGCTCTCGCCGGCCCACTCGCCTTCAAGGATGGCCTCCGTTATCCACGGGCCTCGGGCCGATGCAGGCGACGGCCTCATCCTCCCGGGACCGAGCCAGGGGAGGGGGCTCGTCGAGGCGTGCACACGGATCTCGCCCTCGCCGGCCCACTCGCCTCCAAGGGTGGCCTCCGTTATCCACAGGCCGCAGGGCGACGCAGGCGCCAGGGCCTCATCCTGGCCCAGACCTCGAGCGAGGGGGGGGGCCTCGTCGAACGGCAGGCGCGGGAGGACGTGCTCGCCCAGCTTGCTTGACGTCGGACGAGGGCCACGGTCGAGTTGTGACGTGAGGGTCTCCCGCTGCCGTGCCCGGCAGACTTCGCACCCAAGTTGGGCAGGGTAAATGACGGTGTTGCAACGGGAGTTGGAGTCGAAGGATCGGCGCTTTGCTCCCGTCGTTCAAATGGGATCTCTGGCCAACGCGCGAGTTCCTTTTCTACATTCGTGTCCTTCCTCGTTGTTGTCGCCCCACTTTTACGCCTCCTCCGCCTTTCTGTGCTCCTTCAGCTTCTCCCGCTCCTCTCTCCTGCTCCTGTTGCTGCTATTTCTCCTCCTCCTCCTCCTCCTCCTCCTCCTCGTCCTCCTCCTCCTCCTCCTCCTCCTCCCCCTCCTCCTCGTCTCCTCCTCCTCCTCCTCCTCCTCCTCCTCCTCCTCCTCCTCCTCCTCCTCTCCCTCCCTCCTCCCTCCCTCCCTCCCTCCCTCCCTCCCTCCCTCCCTCCCTCCCTCCCTCCCTTCTCCTCTCTCTCTTCCTACCTCTTCCTCCCTCCTCATCCCTCCTACTTCCTCCTCCCTCCTCATCCTCCCTCCTCCTCCTCCTCCTCCTCCTCCTCCTCCTCCTCCTCCTCCTCCTCCTCCTCCTCCTCCTCCTCCTCCTCCTCCCCCCCTCCCTCTCCTCCTCCCCTCCTCCCCCTCATTCCCCTCCTACCTCCTCCCCATCCTCCTCCTACCACCTCCTACCTCATCCTACATCCTCCTACCTCCTCCTATATCCTCCTACCTCCCCCTACTTCCTCCTCCTTCTCCTCCTCCTCCTCGTCAGCATCAGCATCATCAGCATCAACAACATAATCATCATCATCATCATCATCATCATCATCATCATCATCATCATCATCATCATCATCATCATCATCATCATCATCATCATCATC